AGCTCCCCTACTTATTTTTGGCCAATTCGAGCACTGGGGTAATGTCTTTTAATAGATACAATTTGTGATTTTTTGACGAATTGTTCATCAAAATCGGTCCAGTGAGAGCTAAAATTGAGTGGTAACACACACAAAAAAAACACATCATAGTAATTAATACCTTTTCAGCTTCGCATCGAAGCTAAAAGTTAAAACGTTGTAATTTACAGTATTGGTCATTATTTATAGTTGATAGTTATATGTAAACAAGGCTGCAGCCATGTTATGCACATTTTGTAGAAATGCATTAGATTAGTAAACCAAATTTTTATGCATAGGTACAATTCAATATGATTATAATTAATGAACTATTTATTTAAAAAATATTAGCATGTTTATACACAATTATGTTTAAAATCGAACAATAGCTTGTCTGAGTTACACTAGTGGTTGGCTGCTATGATCATGGACAAACATAATTTGACAAAACTATCCCTTTTGTATATTCGTTTGATGAGTAACTATGAGGCCGTTGACAGTGACCTAGCCAAGTTTTACTCTTTAGATCATTATCGATGGTGGAGGGGAGGAAACAGTAAAGTATACGAGCAGATGAAAAATGTACAGAACACAAACGTATAAACATAGCCACTTTTGTTGGCGACAGTGTCTATACTAATTGCACATAAAGTGTGTCTATTTGCAACCGTTTGCTGTTTTTTCAAAGCTCAATTTATTTACTGAAAAGTAAGTATTATTAAAGATATAATTTTAAAAATAAAATTTATTTATTATTTATACTATTGCGTCATATAAATGGCCATTTTAATTTGTAAATATTGGATTAATCTAATATTTACACTAGTTCTTTTAAATGTATCTGTGTTATATTAAAGCTGTTAATGACTTAAGGTTCACGTTCAGATCGTAAGAACATAGTAATAAATGTTCTTACATTTAAATTAAAGTGAATTTAGGAACACTTATTACTATGTTATTACAAGGTCTTACAATTATTTTTAAATCGGAAGATAGAATACAATAATTTTATTGAACATGAAAGATCAATTAAATTTTCATTCAATCATTCAACTATAATTTAATTTTACATCATACTATAATGGCGTCAAAGTCAAAAATAATAAGTAGGGCAAATTTAAAAAAATTTTAATTGCTACCCATCTCTTAAAAATTGTGTGACTATTTATTTTGCTCAGCGCCACAATAGTAATAATAATAATAATAATAATAATAATAATAATAATTATCTATCAATAATTTAAAAAAATTAATAGGGGTATAAATTCCTTATAAAACTAAGTTATTTATTGTTTGATGATTTTTCATGGTATGACCTTTTTATGTTCACTTAGAATTATTTTCATTCCTAACTAGTGAAATATATGCTTTAATGATTCAATTAATTAAAACTTATTATATAGTAATTAAAAATGCAAGATTTAAAATTTGTTTTTTAGTAGAATATTAATTACATGACTTTTTAATAAAAATAACGGTTTTAGTGGGACGCGCTCTTGTGTTAAAAACGGAAAATTGCTATATCATTCTTTGACTTTTTTACTGCAAATAATAAAATTAACATATAAAAAAAAATTATTCGAGAAAAAGGGTTTTTTTTCGTGAAATTAAAGTATTTAAGTTGATATTTGAAATGCTTGAGAATGTATCCATGTTTACAGTTGACGTTTCGGACTCATCGCAAAGTCCATCTTCAGAGTGATGGTTGCTACTAGTGGGTGGCTGCAATTAAGCTTTAACACACTTTAACATAGTTAAGATGAGTTTATTATTAATAAATCTTAATTTATTACACTTTTTTATTTAATATTATCCTCAATATTTTGAATTTAAATTGACATACAGTCATCATGCCTAACTTATAACTTATAACGAGAGAGCTATTCATAAATTCTAATTTTGAGATAGGTCATTACTTCTATTGATTCAACATGTCCTCCGCATTTGAATATATAAGTTATTAATTAATAACCACATGACTAAAATATGTGGTTAAAAAGTTTCTAATGATCGCTTTTATTATATTGATTAAATATTTGCTTAAACATCACAAGATTTCAGCTTAGGGTATAAATTAATTAAGGGTAAAAATTTTCACAATTTAAAAGATTTAAATATACCTTTGTATTTCATTTATTTTGCAATGATTTTACATAAATAAATAATGAAATACTTATTTATTTTTATTAAATTGAAAAAAATAATAATTCGTCATTTTATGTTATATTTTAGAGTGTGAAGATTTGACAAATAACCTAATCCATGCAATTTTTAATTATATTAATTATTATTTAAAAAGATGAATAAGGTTTAATTGGTCCAGAAAGTTTTATAAAAATTGAAATACAATTAGCTTATACAGGGCTTGGGGGTAGGCTCTGCCAATTTTTATTGGGCTTTTGTCTCTTCTTAAAATTTAAAATGCAATTATATTTAAAATAATGATTAAAGATGCAAGTGATTAAGTAAATTACAATAAGTCTAATTAAAAAAAAAATATAAGTAATTTTAAATACTTTAAAAATAGCCTTAAGTTTTACATTCGGTAAAAAATAGAAAATCATATAAGGGATCAAAATTATTCAATCTCCCACTAAAAGTTATCTAACTATGTGTCAAGAAGCACTCATACTTTGAAATGTAATTTGTTTTAGTAGTATTTTATTTTAAGTATTTTGTAAGTAAATTCATTAGGTTTTTTCGTTGTATGTTGTATTTAGACATTCAGAATCAAAGACATAAATATATATTTATCTAGAATGCTCATTACCATCAGACGACCGTTAAATATTAATTTATAGGTATATAAACTATAATATATTTCACTTCTCTAAGTATTTTGCTATTGTTGACTTATATGTTGTACTTTATACCATAAACTAAATGTTATACCTACAGAATAAATTATTTATGTTATTGTTTTAAAACACATTCAAAGAAATCTAAAAAAAAAAATCTCATTCTCTTAAAAAACCTTTACCTATTGTTAAACTACATTCCTTAAGTAACGTTTTTTATTACTTATCAATAGCTAAAATATTTAAAGAATAAACTGTGAATGATTTTATCACATGCAAATCGTGTTCTTAATTATGTAACATAATTAATCAACTATTTAATTTTAACTAACAATAGTTACATTTAAAATGTAATACAAAAGTGGATTTTCTTTATCCTAGGTTGATTGACCTTGAATTTTTAATTGCATTTACTTAATAAATTATGGTTACTACAATTATGTTTCATTAGTATATGTATATTTTTCTAAAATAACGTCAATTTTATGAAGTTTTTGAGTTTAAAAAATTACACTAGTTTACAAAAAAATTTTTTTTTTTATTCATGAAATGCGACGTATATTATTTATGTAGGCTACAGATGGTAGTTAGAAAAAAAAAAAATTTTCCCGCAGCACGTCACGATTCTGATATAAGAAAGTTCTTTGTTTTTTTCTACCTGAAATTCTTCACATACATTTATCGCTTCATTTTGTTAACAACTTGTGTTTCAAAAGTCGTACTTTATAAAAATGTCGTCGAGAATATGTAAGCTAGATCCAAACCGATTTTGTTATATTTGTGGCAAAACTGTTCAATTGAATTAGGGTTTTTCTATAACAAAACCATTGCAAGAAGCGTACCTACATTATTTTGGATGTGCAGTATCAAATCAAGATAAAAATTGGGTTCTTCATGTAATTTGCAATAACTGTAGATTGGTCCTCAGCTCCTGGTATTCAGGTAAAAAAAGATCACTGAAGTTTGGTAAACCGATGATATGGAGAGAACCAACTAACCATTTAACCTTTTGTTTACTTGTTACTTTTGTTTAACAAAAACTTTCGGTCCTTTTTTATTAAATGACCATAACAATCAAAATATTAATACATAGCAAATACATGATAGTAAAAACAACATATCAAGATATTAAAAAACAACATAATTAAAATAACATATAATGCTACCTAAAGACTTGAACCACGAATAACTTATGTCAATAAATATTTACATACAAAAATCTTTGTACTTTTCTGATAACTTAATTTCTCTTTTTGGTTTTTGATCAATACTACTTGTGTCACCAGCCGACTCATCTTCAACTTCTTTTGATCCACTATCTTCTTTTATAAACTTTTTCACAAATGAATCATGTCTGGTATATTTTGCTCCATCCCTCTCAACAGTAATAGATAAACCTTCTGTACTTACTACTGTATAAGGATCCACACAAAAATTTGGAGTAAGCTTATTTGTTTTACTTTGTTTTAATAAAACCAAATCGCCCTCCTTGAACTCTTCCTGTTCCCTTGCATTTCTTTTCTTGTTTGTAAAATCTTTTCCTATAAACTTCTTTTCTTTATCTCTGTCTTCAACTTCTTCATTAAAACCCATTCCTTGAATTTGCGGTAATTTATCTCTAAATTTCCTCCCCAACAACAATTCTGATGGACTTACACCCATTACTGAATGAGGAGTATCTGTATACATAAATAAATACTTTAGTAATTCATCTTCCCAATCCAACTTACTAGCCTGAGCAATAATTAAACGTTTTAAGATTGAGCGATTTTGCCTCTTAACTTCTCCATTAGCATAAGGCCAAAGTGGTATAGTATTATAAATTTCTATATTATTTTCCTCACAAAAACTCTTATACTCTTGAGAGATAAATTGACAACCATATTATCACAAGTAATTGTAATAGATGTCAAAATGATTAAAAATGTCAATTTCATAATATCTACTGTAATAATCTACAACAACAAAAATATAATGCCCCGAAGGTAACGGACCTAATAAGTCAACTGCAACATCTATCCATGGACCCATTGGAAGTTTCCTTCTTTTCATTAATGGTGGATGATTAGGAAGCGATACAATTTGACAACCATGACAGGACTTGACACATTTTTCAGCTTCTTTGTCTAAGCCTGGCCACCACACTTTTGATCTTAACCGTTACTTCATTGACACTATTCCAGGATGTCCTTCATGTGCAAGTTGTAAAACTTTAGGTCTTAACTTTAAAGGCATTACAATTCTTGTACCTCTTAACAAAATATTATTATAAATACATAACTCTGTTTTAATAACCTTGTATGCAATAGGAGCTACATCAAAGTTACCTGTCTTAAAACAATTGCTAATTAAAATTAACTCATTATCCACTTCAGATTCTTTTTTTATTTCTTCCAAGCTAAGTGCTCTTGGTGTAGCCTTAACCATAATGTTATGAATATGAACTTCATTCTTGTTGTCATTTACTTTCTTACCATTGTACACTACCAACCTTGATAATGGATCAGCTATATTAGATTTTCCTGGTCTATGTACAATTTCATAATCATATATTTGTAATCTTAAAGCCCAACGTTCAATTCTTAGACGCGGTTTACTCTTAGGACTAAAAATCAGCTGTACTGGTTTATTATCAGTAATTTATTTAAATTTCTTACCTAAAAGGTAAATTTTCCATTTCTCTACAGCCCAAACTAGTGCTAAAGCTTCTTTTTCTAATTGAGAGTATCTGCGCTCTACCTCTGATAATGTTCTACTGGCATATTCAATAACTCTAGGACCCTTTAATTAAAGTAGAAATTTAAAACGAAACGAAAAACAGAGATTTTTTACACAAAAATAACATAATTTGTTTAACTTTGAGGGTAATTTACATACAGAAAACAACTTAAGACAATTGTTTTTTTTAGCTTAAAGTTTGTAACATAAGCTTTAATTTAATATATAAGGACACAATATTTCTAGGACATATTCAAAAGTTAAGTTAAAAAGGAAAACTTTTTATACAAAAGTTGCTATTTTGAATACCCACTGTATTTATAGCAGTAGGTCATGCTCTCTAAAACAAAAAATATTTCTACACTATTATATTATAATACGATAAAGTGGCTCAAACAAAATTTAATAATTATAACACTGCTAGTCATAGGTATAAAGGATTGTCAAATTAAATATAATAAAATAAAACATAATACACATATTATTTTAAAGGTCGCAGTAGAAAATAGAAATGAAAATAATAATAATAACGATTCTACTATTATACCTATAACCTATATATACCTATTATTATATTAACCTATAACGACGAGCGTACTAGCGCTTAATTCTAAAAATAAATTACCCAATATAGTAATATACTAGTATTTACCGTAAGGTCGTCCAAAACCCGTACATAAGATCGCAGCAGAACCCAACCCGCACGCACACAATTGTAGCACCTCACTAATAGTTACGTTTAGCATATTACTCGGGACGACGTTGCCGGTTGTCCAAACACTGCTCGTGTGCAAGTACGCTTGCGCATATACTGAGGGAAACAACTTTAATGTTCGCTCACGACTAATGAATTATAACTATTTTACTATTTAAAAAATTGCATTTTTAATAAAAATTTAGAATTAAGAATATTTAATTTATTTTCTTCTTTTAATTAATATTACTAGGGGGTGCGTCGTCTAAACCACGAGCCGCCTCTGAGAATAAGTCACAATTAATTGATTAACTGTAGAATTAATCTGTTTTTAACTTGTTAATGTTATTATGTTGAGTTGTATGAAAAATATAATTTTTTGAGATGTGTCTTTAATTTCAGTTATTTGAAATTATTGCAACGTCTTTTTTACGTTTTTATTTTGTAGGTGAAACGTGAAATTCTAATAGTAGAACGAGTTGTAACTATGTATTTTAATAAAATTAATTAAAATAATTATTATAATGATTTCATATGATGGATACCAATCCGTAACCCAATGTGCTGTAGGAAGTGATGATTTCATACTGGTGGATGAGATTGACAATGGCCGCAAGATGAGCACTATTGAGACGATTCAGGAAATACGACCTTGGTTAAAGCATAAAGTGCGTAGTACAGTAGCTTTAAAAAACTTACGAAGAAGATTACCTATTCTTGAATGGTTGCCACGATATACAGTTGAAGACGCGGTGGGTGATTTATTGGCCGGGGTCACTGTAGGACTCACCGTCATCCCACAATCTATGGCATATGCTGGGTTGGCTGGCCTTCCACCTCAATACGGTCTTTATGGTTCGTTTTTGGGCGCTATCATTTACACTTTTTTTGGTAGTTGTAAAGACGTGCCTATGGGCCCAACTGCTATAGTGTCGCTTATGACTTACAACACTTTACGGGAACACGGACATGTTTATGCCACACTCTTATGCTTTTTCACAGGTGTTATCCAATTGAGTATGGGCGTCTGTGGTCTGGGTATACTGATCGATTTTGTATCTGGACCTGTGTCTTCCGGCTTTACTTCAGCTGTGGCTTTATTAATAATTACGTCCCAAATCAAAGATTTGATTGGCATAAAGGCTACCGGAACAACTTTATGTGAAATGTTAATGTCGTTATCTAGAGATGTTCACAACGCTAGCATGGTTGATACGACGATTGGATTTGGATGTATAATTCTTCTTTTGATTCTTAGAATTATAGCAGAAGTACGTATAGGACCCAAATACTTAGAACAGCGAACGTTTAGCCAAAACTTGATCAACAGATTTCTATGGTTGGTTGGATCATTCAGAAACTCAATTATAGTAATAGGTTGCACTACAATGAGTTACATTTATGTTAGTTCATTGGAAGACTCGACAAATTTACCGTATAAAATTATTGGTGAAATACCCGAAGGTTTGCCTGATGTAGATTTCCCTAAGTTTTACGTTAAGAACGGTAATGACACGATAGGGTTTGTTGATATGATGTCCTTGATGGGTTCAGGAATAATTGTTCTACCGCTTATTGGTTTACTCGAAAGTATTTCAATTTGTAAGGCGTTTGCAAATGGAAAAACGATAGATGCTAGACAAGAGCTGTTAGCCATTGGCTTATGTAATATCGGCAACTCATTTGTGCATAGCTTTCCGGGTGGTGGTTCGTTCAGCAGAAGCGCTGTAAACAACGCCAGTGGAGTACGTACTCCTTTAGGTGGTCTATATACAGCACTATTAGTTATTGTGTCACTTTTATTTCTAACTCCAGATTTTTATTACATACCTAAGACGTGTATGGCCGCAGTAATTATAGCAGCCGTAGTGTTTATGGTAGAAGTGAGAGTAGTTAAGCCAATTTACCGGTCTAAGAAGAGTGATCTCATACCTGGCCTTTCTACATTTATCGCCTGTCTATTATTGCCACTTGAAATCGGTGTTCTAGTCGGAATCGGGCTTAACTTGATGTCAATACTATATCATGCAGCCAGGCCTAAAATATCAATACAAATTCATAATAGCCGTACAGGAATTGAGTATCTGATGCTGACTCCGGATCGATGCTTAGTGTTTCCATCTGCTGACTATGTGCGTAATTTAGTTACTAAGCACAGTCTAAAACGTAATATTCCAGTAGTCATAGATTGTTCGCACATTTATGGTGCTGATTTTACAGCTGCTAAAGTAATAGAAATGCTTTCACAAGACTTCTCTAATCGCGGTCAGGCTTTATTTTTCTACAATCTCAAGCCCAGTGTAGTGGAAGTGTTTAAAGGTGTAGAACCTAAAGATTTCATCTTATATTATCATAAAAAAGATTTGGAAAAATTATTGGCTTTAAAAGCGAAGAACAACACAATTTTAAGCAAAGCTTAAAAGTTTAAAGTTACAAGATTATCAAAATTAAATTCGTGATTTATAGCTTAGATGGAAAATCTGGGTGAGAGTTTAAGTTTTTTATTTTTGTTTGATTCAACACTATAGATGATAGATTGTTTTTATTGTAATATAATATATTTCAATCAAAATTAATATAAAATATTTAATTTGAAATTAATAAATCATATACATATCATATATATTTTTGAACTATAAAATTAGAGCTATAATGATTAGAAAATCATTAGTAATAAATTCATATTATTTTGAATAAATGTAATAAAAATAAAAAATAAATATACTTTGAAAATATATAGAAAATTATTCAAATATAAATTGTCAAAATGAAATTATTTATTTATAAAATATGGCACAATAGTAATAATAATAAATAATTTATTAACTTACCAAGAGAATAATGTTCAACCCACATACTTTTTTATTAGTAACAAAATCTAATATTTTTTTTTTAATTTTATGTAAAATAATACTGTTTTATTAATGTTACCTAAAGTTATTAACACAGATACAATAAAAAATTACAAATTTAGTAAATTATACATGTAATTTTATACATATGATTGAATATTCACTTAGGAATAATCAGTTTATATGAATTACTACAGAAAAAATAAATGACAAATTGTTTAAATTACAATGATAGCTATTACATAAAAATTTGTATAATTTACATATTTTACATACATTCCCCTATAAATCTCTAAAAAAAATTGTTTTCAAGAAATATTATATAAAATTATAAAACCCAACATTTTTTTATGAATTTATTCTTTTTTTTCATGATACTCATCTGAAAGTAAAAAAAAAAGGTTTTTAAAAAATTAAAATATAATTTCTTTTATATTAGAAATTAAAAAAAATTACCTTCATTATCATTGTCATCTTCGTTTGCATCCATAATATCTGTACAACATGTAGAGTATAGGATTAATAACAAAAATATTCCAGGTAATCCAAAGAGTACACAAGCAACTACTGGATTTCCAGTCCAAATGTTTATTAATGCTGTCTTTGTTTCATAATACATCCTATACAATTGAATCAAAATACCATTTCCACCATATGCCTATAAAAATATTGTTATTTCTAGTTTAAGTTTACATAATTAAAGATCTGTCAAATAAATTATAATAATATTCAGTAACAGAATTGGATAAAAACAGTAAATTTCCAGAAGGATATTCTAATATTTTTAACATGCCAATTATTAAAAAAAAAAACAAATTGCTTCAAAGTTAACTATTAAGATGTGAATAATTATTTAAATAAATGGAGGAAAATTAAAATTTTAGGAGACTCAATTAGTGTTCAATTTAATTACCCAGAATGACCCAAAATAAATAAAATACTTTGTACAAAAATTAGTATAAAGATGTATAAATAAAACCTTTGCAGATTGATTCCGAACAGCTTCTAGAAACATCGTAATGGATTCTGGTGTTAATTCGTGAGGTTTTTCTTCTGGAATATGATGATGTCTAGTAGAAGAATTGTAAATAATTAGAGAAGGTACTGCAACATCACTCAATGTAATTGCATTGGCAAATTCTGGAGATCCAATCCAACCAAATTGAAAATCACTAAAATAAATTTTGCATATAATTACCAATATAATAAACAATTACTTTTATAAAAACAATTTATTACCGATGAAAACGATCTCTATTTTGAACAATAACAGATTCCACCATTTGTAAAAATCTAAAAAAAAATATATATATATACAATGTTCTTTTTGTTTTCAATTGTCTAATTTCTCATTAAATAGGCATATTAAAATTCGTTTACAAAAAAAAAAAAATAGTACCCTAATTTTTTCTGATTTTTATTGCACCCCTTAGTATCTCATTATATTTACAATTATACAGGTAATGCGTTTATCATAAACTACTCAATTATCTACAAAATAGATACAATATTGAAAAAGTTTGTTTGGTGTTTATTAGTTATATACATTTATTTATTACTTATGAATTACTTCTTAGCACCATTCTTTACAACTTAAAAAGGTCACAACTTTATTTTTTAAATGGAAAATATATATATTTGATTAGCTTATAAATTAGAAAATTATTTAAGAATATGATAGAACAATACCAGCTTTTGGACAAGTACTAGAGAATTTTTGATAATTTTATACGTGGGTGGGAGGCAGCAAATAAATGCGAATGATATAAATAGTTATACACATGTCTTTCTCCCATCTATATTTTATGATAGCTATAATTTTTGAACTATTGATCCAAAAGTTATTATAGACCCGTTTTATCATTTCCTTAGCCTCTATCTTAAGAATTTGGGGTCACTTCTACTGTATGATTTTACAACATTTTTACATCTGCAGTCAACCTGACATAATCTCATTATGGTTGAAGGAGTAAATAAGGGAGTAAGGTGTCTGTCACTGTTAAAGCTCTACAGTTTAGAATCCGGAAACGACAACATTATATCAGCATTAAAGAAGCAACTGAATGATCTACACCACATGATACATTGGTTAAACGTTTTTATTGACTTTCCATTTTCTTAATTACAATATTTTATATTTTATAAGCTAATTAAACATGTATGTTATGTAATTTTCTTAATATAATACTTATATTAAAAGAAATAGAGTGTCTAGCATTAAAAGAATTAACATGTATGTATGTATTTATATTAAAAGATAAATGATAAAGGGTGATACTTAGAAGTATTTAATAACCGATAAATAATAACAATAATATATATATATATAACTAAAAATAATCAAATATTTTTTTGTCAATATTACATTGATTTATTGAGTAGCTTTTGATAAATGAATTATTCTGTATATACATACAAATAATTTAAATAACTTTTAAATGATGGATGGAAATTATTATTAATAAAATTTGAAACATTTTAAAAACATTATTGTTAACTTTTTCAGCATTAAATGTAGGTTTTCAAAGCATTATTTCCTAGCCATCGTTGTAAATAACTGTCTAACTAGATTCACTCTTCTAATAGGTTGTAAGAAATATTGAAGGTATTGTTTAGATTAGATAAACAAATATATGATACAAGGATATAACCATTTTTAAATAGTAAAACTACTCATTATCAATATTATTTTGGAATTATTTTAAATAATTAATTTAAATGTAGTAAAACTTAGATGTGTAAACCAAATCAAGACAATTATGTATGAGGTGTGATCAACAGACCAACAGGTCTGAGTGCATGGGCATTATGTCCACCTCACTAATAACTAAAACTAAAACTAATCATTTAAATAATAGTATAAAAAGTCATGAACAATATTATTCATAATATTATAATAATATTAAGTCTATAGACTTACTCTGAGTGATGAATGGGTAACTTAGGTATTTTGTTTTCTTCAACTATTGCCAATACTAAATACTTATTTGTTTCAAACATTTGATGTATATTAGAACGAGTAACTTTAACAAAAGTATCAAATCTCTCAGTGTTAATCCATTCAGTTAAACTAGAATTTAAATCCATACCCCATTCTTCAACTACAAATTAAAAAGAATGAATATTAATAACTTGATAGTTAATAAAAAAAGTTTAATTGATAGTTACCATTAAATATATAGTGTTGTTCTTCTTTATACACAATAACTGCAGGACTTTTGTCAAACGAAAAATGCTAAAAAAAAAAAAACATTCGTCTAATTGATATACTCTAAAATGGTTGTATAAAATTTAATACATTATTAAATATCTACTATTTACTATGAAATAATTTTTATGAGTACAAAAAGATTTTTGTTTTTATTTATATTTTTAATAATCTGGTAGCTCATAAATAGTTTTTTCATGTTTTTGTTAAATGAAATTTGGAATTTTAAAATAAATGCTCCATTTAGATAATGAAGCATTTGAATGACCAAGGTTCGGTTTGTCAAAGTTTTACTGCATGTGATTTTTTATGGGAGACTACAAAAAAAAAACATTCAAATAAATAATGAGTACCTGTTTTCCTAAATTTTCGGATGTAATATAAAAGTATGAATGAGCTTGAAATTGTTTTGCCAAATCATAAAATAAATCCTATTAATATAAAATTAACTATATGATTAGGTTATAAATTTTTTTAAATAATTATGTAATAAGTACCCAAAAATGTTCTTTACTTTCTCCAATGAACATAAAAAAGTTTTTTTTGGATTGCTTTAGCATTTCAATATCATTTGTATCAGTTACTTCTTGTACCGGAGGTCGTTCCATACGCTTGGCAAAATGAACCAATTCTTCAGTAGATCTCTCTCCATTAAAATTATATGATCCTTCATTGCCCTTTATACTATTTTACAAAATTTAGGAATAACTTTATTCTAAATTTATATTTATATAAAAAGAAGTTATATACATAATGGTACAGTTTATATGCAATATTCATTTTGCTTCAATTTTTCTTTGATGTTAATCATCTTTTACAGTGGATAAGACCAACTGTTGCCGTAGCAACACTCTTTCCCTCAGCTCGATGATCCCCCTTTCCAACCATGCTGAACTTCTATACCTATAGCATATGCTTAGGTACCTATTAGGGAACAATGTTGAGAAGGACATGATTAACCAGGAAATACGTGATATTAAAAAAGTAGATCTTTAAACGCATCATACATTATAAATCAGACCCCACTATGAAAAGGCAAGGGAGGTAACATAGCCCCTGGAAAATATATGATCCTTTCTTTTTTTATTGCGCTTAACTTGTATATCTAAAGTGTATTGTATTGTTGTTTAATTTGGAATACGTTACCTACACTTTATTTTTTAAGTAATAACTTAAACAATAAAATATGAATCATTTTCACAGTGACTATAGTTTGCGTCTTATTAAAAACATTTAATTACACTATGTCACAGAATCAAGTAGTTTTGCTAATTCCCATATACATATATTACCATGCAATACATGTATAAGATCAATGGTATATAGAGAAACATGATTATCCTAATAAATGTCTGTAATTTTATGAAATTATACATGATAAATAATGATAAAAAAAAAAAAAAAATGCAATAAAAAATTTAGAGATGGTGGCATTGTTCCAATAAAAAATTTTATATTATTATGCAATACATATAAAATTTGACACCAGAGACACTGGGGTTATGTGATTACAGTAAAGAATAAGTTAATTATATTTTAATAATTAGAGTATAAATATATATGTATACAATATACACACTAATGTACAGTATACATAAGTGAATGTATATTTTTTCAAAAAAAATAGAATTTCACAGAATTTTAGAATTATTTTTAAATGATAGTGTGCCTGTCTATATTTTTTCGGGATTAAGATTGTATAAATAAAAATGAGTAAAATGAATCATTTTATATTAAAAATTCAGAAAAAAACTTTATATTAAACTTGTATATATTATATACAAATTGTTTCAATGTTTCACTTCTGCCAGAAGTCCTACGACAACTCACATTTTTTTTTAAACAATTTATGCATTTATAGACTATATAAAAAACATATTTTTTATTATTTGATATTAATAACAAAAAAATATTTTTATTTTTAATTTTAAAGTAGCCAGTTTTTAGCACATTTCTTACATAAAATGTTATTGGGTCAATAACAATTTTAGATATTTACCTATTAGAATTTTAGTATATAAGTAAGCATTAAGTACAAGCATTTTAATATATAATGTGGATATGTTGTGTGGGTGAGTACAGCTGGTACTGGTATATATTTATACCGCATATTCCAAATACTCTAAAAATTAGCTACTTTGAAATATTGAAAAAAATTATTTTTTAGTTATATCTGTTCAAGTCAATTACTTATAAAATTAATACAACAAAAAGAAAATGATTATTGGTCATTTTAGTTGCATGTATTTCATGATTTACCAGTTATTAATTATATTTTAAACATGATCGTTTAAAATTTATAGGAGTGTCAACTTTGTTTTTTTAAATGAAAAAATACTTTTAACTATAAAATAGGAATTAATAAAAATTCAACAAATTTTTTCAATATTATATTAATTTTTTGAGTAATTGAGTGGCTTACAGAAAATGTATTAATCTATACAGTTTAAAAAGTATAGGTGTTCAAAAACCTTGTACAATTATTTTGCTATGCCAAACAAGTATTTTTATAAGTATGGAATGTATTATATCTTGAAGCCTAAAGCATTTTTGTTTTATTGTATGAGTTTCAGGATAACCAAGTACTTCTTTTTATATACTGGAAAATTTAAATTAAAATCAAATTTTTGTGACTAGCAGATTTTTATTTAAATGGAAAATAAAAATATAAAAAAACAAAGATTTTATGAAAAATTATTTTGCTAAACATAATAAAAGCACTTCAATATTTTATACTATGTTACATATTATTTAATTGTTTTAAATCTGTCTGAAAATTCATTTTTGACTATGCAAGAGAAGATCTGCTAATAGCATTAATACAAATAATCAATCAACCTATAATTTAGTGATTTTTTTAATCATCACATACCTATCATAATGACTATTTTGATTTAAATTGTTTGCATGAGTAATTGAGATGAATATGATCAGATTTATGAAAGAATGAAAATTGAATTCTGCGTCAGTCAACACACTTTAATATTTTTCAGAATGTTATGCTGAATATAATATTAAACTTTAAAATAATAAATTTATTTACCAAAATTAGTTTCTATTAAGTGTTTATGGATTAGCAAGGTTAAAAATATCAAATATAAATGGCACTTATGAATTTGGAACTCACCTAAAAGGAAATGCCAATCTATTATAAATGCTTACCAGAAATATAATTTTAGAATTGACATAATTATTGTAAAAATAGAGAGTTTGTTCAATCAAATTAAGTGTACATTGATAAGGATATAATTCTTGCATTATATATTTTTTATTGATATATTGCATAAGTTTTTTGTCCATACCTCATATATATATATATATAAATTGACTAATAAATCTTACAACATAATTGTTGGATAAGCCGAAAGTCCAAACTCTGAAACTACTCTTTTGTACCTTGTACAATCAATTCTTCCTACTCTGATATCAGTGTTATGTAAAGCTTGAGCAACATGATTCCATATTGGTTCCAATCGTTTGCAGTGACCACACCAAGGTGCATAAAACTATTAATATTAAAATTTTTTAATAATCTATTACATAATTAAAAACCTTTCAGTGTAAAAGTTCCATTATAGAGTAAAAATGGATTATTTCACAATAATAAAATAACTTTATTAACAAATAGGTTATAAATATATACTAAACGATACTAAAATATGCAAGTAAAAATAATATTTGTTATAAGTTTACATACCATTATAAACCAGTCTCCTTCATTTTTTATTTCTATGAATCTAAAACATAAAGCACCAAACTATTTTTTCAAAATTTTACCTAAAAACATTTATAATATAAAATGAATGCATTACCTATCACTCAATTCTAGGACTCTTGATGACTGAACATTATGTTGTAAATAAAAGACTAAAAAAATTTTACATTTATAAAAATAAACTAATAAGCAATTTAAAAAATGTATTTTTTATATATCGCCCACCTGAATCAAAAATTGTTAGATAATTTATAAAGGATGTCTTCTCAAATTTTTAGAAATTTTTTTTTTTATAAGTTACAACAATTTTAATCCAGGTGTACATTATTATAATGACATTATAATAATATTCATCAAATAAGAAATACATATAAAATATACATTTTAGATTAATTTAATTACCAAACAAAATTAATGAAGGAAAAAACTTATATCCAACTTTTGAGATCATCATTGTATTGATTATTGCCTAAACACTATTACTTATCATAAAATATGTTCAGCATTACCATAAGTTTCTAAAATGATATAAAACTTATTTCTTACTAATAATACATTTGACAGTCTATAGAAGAGAATCAATAGTAAACCAGCATCAAATTACTTTATGTGATGGTTTGGAGAAATTAAAAAAGTTCTAAGCATTGCTTTTTTTTATTCAAATACGTAATTTTAGTTCTTTATTTAATTAAAGATTAATTTTTACAAAAACTAGATATAATATAAAGTAACTTATACTCAAAAATATAACATTAAATGTTGAAATTATGAATTTTATTTTACATCAAGTAACACTTTGTTTTTTCGTTAAATTTACGTTTTTCTTTATCAATTATCAGTATTTTTATTATCAATTTTAAGAATTGATTGTTCTTATCGATTTGAATTTATCCAACCTGGTCGTCATTTAAAGTTACTATCAGATCTCAGCTAATCTGTTATTTTTTACTCATTTATGTGCACATGATGTTACATGTGCCAACTAGAATTGTCATGAGCCGGTATTTTTCATTCACTGATCAGCTGTATATTAGTGTCTTGTGAGCTTTCACTTGATCTTTTTTGATAAAGACACCGGGTTTTTAAATAATCTTTTGAAAATTTACATTGTTGTGTTAATAATTTTATTTGAAATAAATTGAATTTTTTCTGAAAAAAAAAATTTATTATGTTTGCCACAACTTTAGTAAAGGAAAGTCTGTCAAGATGTATTGTATCTACTATTAAAAGAACTCCTAAAGTATATTTTGCCAATTCAGTACGATTTTCTACATCGACATTTTTTAAAGGTGAAAAATTTATCTAAATTATTATGTTAATAAAAATCTATTTTAATGTTAATATGTGTAATTTTAGCTCGTAAATATACAGAAAAACACGAATGGATTGATGTAAAAGATAATATTGGAACTGTTGGAATTTCAAATTATGCTCAGGTTGTCATTTGATTCTACAATTATAAATTGCATGTTAATATTTCATATTTTTTTAATATTTTGTAATGTTTTAATAAAGAAAACGAAAATCATATTTATTTTTAAACCCATTATAAAGTTTTAATATTATTTCATTTTAACATATTTATACATATTGCTTTAATTACTATATTTATTTTGCAAAACATTGATTCAAGAGATTTTTTTAACTTGTAGGAAGCATTAGGAGATGTAGTGTATGCTGAATTACCAACTGTAGGTACAGAAGTTAAAGTTAAAAGTAAATAGTAATCAACAATGAAAAACTCAGCTTTATAATTTGATTATGATATTATTTATATGCTTTTTAGTTGATTGTGGTGCTTTAGAAAGTGTAAAAGCTGCTAGTGAGCTTTATAGTCCTTGCTCTGGTAAAGTCATTGAAGTAAATTCATCTATTGAAACACGACCAGCATTGATTAATCAATCTTGTTATGAAGAAGGTAAATTTCTAAATTTAATAATGCATATTATAAATTAAAATTGCTTTAGTATTTATATCTAATTTTAAATTTTACTATTCATTTAATTTTACAGGTTGGCTTTTCAAAATAGAGTTATCCTCCCCTGATGAATTAGTAAATTTGATGACAGAAGAGCAGTATGCTGAATTTCTTAAAAAAGATTGCTGTTAATCTTAATTGTTTTTTTAATTTTTAATGCAAATTAATTATAAAGAGTAATATTTACTATATACAACATTAGTGTTTTTTTTATTATTATGTAAAAATTACTGAATTTGAATATGAATGTATATCTAATATATTATAAATTGTCAGACACTTTATTATTTTATATATAAAATATAAATCATGCTAATTTATCATTGTTATTTACTTTTATCTCAAATGATTACAACATTTCGTTATTTGAAGTGATAAATAAAATTTTTCTTAACCTAGTTAACTTAAAATTATCAGAAAAATGTGTACTGAATAATGCATTTTGTGTGATATATATCAATTCTTGATAAAAAATTGTAGTTGATTCTATACATATTTTATAAATGAACCCTAATTTGTAAATTTTGGAGCTTTTTTAACTGTAGTACAGTGTGAAAAATCTAAAAGGAGAAAATATCAATATGAAAAATCATCCTATTTATACTAAAAGCTTAGTAATTAATATAACTAATAACTATAGAATGTCTTCTAATATAAGAAAATTTTTAATAAAATAGAGTTTGAAAATTGAAAATGGTCTTCAAGTTATTAATGGCTTAGTAATATGGAGTGGAGGAATATTAGTTTTTAATTACATTGTACATAATGTGAGTAAAGACTTCTTTCTATTTTTGGTAATGTAATTAGCAAATTAACATAATAAAAAATCGAGTAAAAAGCATTCCAATGCGCAACTATGGTAAAATAATACTTATTTGTAATTGATAAATAACTTAAAGTGATCATATTTACTTAGATTTAAATATGTGGTGGCCCTAGACTCATCCAAAAATTTATCATCATTCCCTTCAGAATACATGATTTTTTAATAGTTAATAATTTCTTAATTGTAATAAAAGAAATATTACCTTTATAATTAATTTCAAAATTTATACGTTAGTAATTTTTTTTATATTATATTCATCCATTCACTTTTTTAATCCTACTGAAAAAAAATTATAATAAAATAAGTTGATTATACAATAAATTAGAATATTATTTTAAATTGAGATTCATTTTATTACTTTAAATTAATGTTTGAAAAAATAATTCGAACACATTTTTTGTGAAAAACGTGATTGATATTTTTATTGAAGTTAATATTTTGAATACATTGTAATTATAAATAAGTAGCTAAAATTTATAATCTGGATTCTATTCAAGTTGATCATTTTTATAAAAGACACTCATTTTCCCAGTAACTATTGAAAATGTTAAATTTTTGTAAAGCTAAAAATTATTTAATAAAAAAACTTCAACAATATTTAGTTAAATAATAATTTTTTATTTCTTTAAAATATAAGAACTTTCAAATAATTTTTTTTTATCATTTTTTCTACCTTGTATTACAATAGAAATTATTCAATTTTTTACCAAAAGGTAGGAAAATAAACAAAATATGTGAGGTCTTCAATTTTACGGTGATTTGGCAAAATCCGCCCCCTCTAAATTCGACTCTGGATGCCAATAATGATATATGAATTATAAATAAGACTATGCATAAAAAATCATAAAATTTAAATCAGTTTAAAAAGTTGATGAATATATAGTTTTTATATTTGAAAAACATATTATATTTGAAGAAATCCTAGACAATATGAAATAATGTCTGTTAAGTAGTAGCCACATCAGGCATCTTAAGTGCCCCTATATTTATTGATAAAAAAAAATATGATACATTCTTTATTATTCTAATGTAAAATGTTTAAAAAGAGTGTTAAATTTTGTTATAATTTTTAAATTAAAACATTCACTTGTTTAACTAAATTTCGTAATGTTATATTTTCTACTGTAATGTGAGGTTTAATGGGGTCAAAATCACTGATAATAAATAATTATCAGAACAAAATTATTTTGTATAATGTACACATAATACCTCATTTGATAACCTTTTAAAATAAAATAATAAATATGTTTGAAATTAGCATAACAATTGTCATTAATCTCATACTTATCAGACTGATAAATGTGTAGTTAACATGGAATGCAATTTTTTTTAATTTTTAGTTAGAAATTAATTCATAAATTCTATTAATAGCCAATTAAAATATACCAAGTATTTCAAAATAATATAGCTTAATTAAAACATGAAATTACTTAAATTTTGAAAATAAAATTATAAATTATTTCTTTTATTACAATTTAATTACAATAAATAGTTGAACGTGAGTAAAATTTTAATTTATATTAAAATTTTGTGTTGTACAAAAACATCAGTTTGAATTAAAAAAGTCGGATCACTAAAAATAAATAACTACTAAAAATTGTACAAAAAATTATTGATAAGTCATTAATTTCTACTTCAAAGTCATATTTGTAGTAGACAGTGACGTAGACATTTTTATGTGTGGGGGTTCTATCCCCATCGTCCCATCCATAACTAAATTGTAGACACTTTTTTAATTAAGATAAGGTTTTTTTTTATACATTTTTAAATAAATTTGCATAAAATATAAAATTTAATTAAGGGGTAATTTGTCAACCAAACTAGCAACAATTCCATTTTATTTATTTATTGTATAAAGTATAAATAATATTTAGTTTATTTATTTATTATTAATAAATGCCATTTTTTTATCGATTAAATGTTTGGCAAATATAAATAAATAACGAAATTTTATTACAATCCTTTTAACTTTTATATTTTTAATTATTAAAATATTTAAACAAATTCTTTAGGAATAAGAGTTTTTATGCAAAGAGTAGATTCTCTTATGACGAAAATTATTGCGCGATGGAGTTAGAAATTGAAGGAATAATAAAATAATTTATAATGTATACGTCTGACCTCTAGCAAGATACTAAGTATTGGGTAAGTCATAGGAGGGTATTTTTTATTTTAACAAATTTATGGTTTGGATAAACTTAAAATAAAGTTTTTAACTCAATTGGAACCACGTAGTGTCAAATGACGTAGTTACTGGGTTTTGCCAAAGTGTAAATAGAGAATTAAGCCTTCCGGATGAAAAATTAGACACATTATTTAGAAAATTATATACATTGATATAAATTTGGTTGGTCTAAAAAATAATCATTAAAAAAGAGTTAAAATGTATAATAATATTTCTTTTGTACGAGGCAGCTAGACCGTAGGACGGCTAGTTGTGCACCGCACTAGAATGCCGTTTTACCTTAAGCCTGTTTAAATCGCTATTATTGAAGCGGAAATGGGTAACCTGTGGGATGACGGCCAACTGTACATTCAATAAGTAACGAGAGTAGACAATAATGAAATAACGAATAACCACATATATTAGAAATTCTTCAGAGAGTATCTTAAATTTAAAGGATAGCGGGGAGTGTTTAAATACTAATGGCCAGCAAAGCGGCAAAAACAAAATAGTTAAACTCAATTAAAACATACAATAAATAACATTAAAAAATAATATAAAACTCAGCTGAACAGAAGAAGTTGTTGATAGTGATGAGTGGACTGTATGAGATCTTGTGGTAATGGTGTCGAAAATTTAAGTATGACGAGTCAGAGTGTAGATCCAGGGACGTAATGGCAGATGAGAACAGACGGCGGAAAAGCGAATACGGCAATGAAGATATTTAGTGATGGTCAGAGCCCAATCATTAGTGGCGTGTAAGGACACGAGAACTTTTAGCACAAGGGTGCAATAAATAAATAAAAGATTAACGGCGTAAAATGGCCGAACAATTTACAATGTAGCAAGCGAAGGCGCTTGCTACAGAAGAGAATGACACATAAAACAAATTGACTGACTGACTTACGACGATGAACTGTACACGGATGATAATTGACACGAAGGTCATCGATTTGCCGTGCTGGGTGGGCAAAGGGGTGAATGAAGCAAGACGCTGGATCTGCTGTCACACTATATAATATAATCAACGATGTTTGTAACAACTGGTCTAATAGATCTTTTCTAAAGGCATTCTATACCAAGAAATATTTTTAAGGGTTATTAAAAAGTACTTGCCTGAAATCTTCAGTTCTCTAACTCACATCTTATTCATGCTGAATGAAAGTTAAAAAATCGAACATAAGAAGAGTTTAATATTTTTTGCATTTAATAATTACTATAAAAAACACTTTATTTGATTATCTTCTTTCCTATTTTCTCCTATCAACAATATATCAAAAACAAATAACATACACCATAGTACCTCTCCTTGTCTTGCCTTAGTAATTTCATCCTTTGCTATAGAAAATAGGTAAGGGTTTAAAACAAAACCTTAGTGCACATCTACTATTATGTTGAAATCCTCTAGTTGTCCATACACATTACCCTAGTACAAGTGCCTTCATATATATATTCTCTATTACATAAATATACATTTTGTGGACTCTTATTCTCATTTGTACACAAATGAGACAAATTTACAAGATGAGAGTGTTGAATGGAATAGGTTATGTAATAATTAAAATATTTAGAAATTATTCGTAATATAATAGTATATAATATAAAATATATAATATAAGAGATGTACAACGGCAACGGGTCACTTTACTCGGAATATGCGATAACGCGTGGTGCTTGGAGAGTTACAAACATACATACATACATACAGGTGAAACTAATATAAGCGTGTTAATTTAATAATTTAATAAGTATTAAGAAATATTAATAAATTTTTTTTTTTTAGTTTGCTGGATTTTCAGCAGAACGTATGGCTGATTGCAAATGTAAAGTTCTAATTACTGCTGATAGTGTATATCGAGGTGACAAATTGTTGAATATAAAAAATATTTGTGATTCAGGTAATTCATAGATACTCGAGTAATATTGATAAAATTATAAATTTTTGAATACATTCAATAGCAGACCGACAGAAAAAGTGACCTTGAAAATCACACTTCTAGCATACGTCGCTTGTTACTAGTTACCAAATTTATATAAATCCTATAGGTGTAATTATGGAGGGATATAGATGTCATATTTATTGAAGGTGGGGGTGAAAAATTGATTTATTTATATCCTCTCATAAGACGAAATTATAATTATATACCAAGCATCTTAACGGGGTTGCTAAAAAGACCTTGCCTGAAATCTTCAGTTCTCTAACTCACATCTTATTCATGCTGAATGAAAGTTAAAAAATCGAACATAAGAAGAGTTTAATATTTTTTGCATTTAACGGGTCACTTTACTCGATAGATGGTGAAATTACAACTAAACTGTAAACATGTATA